AAAGATTATTTTTTAACTTCATTTTTTTGTTTACAAAAATAAAATTCTATTTGGTAAATTAAACTAAATAGAAGATATATCTTCAATTTCTTTAATCACTTCAATATTTTCATTTTTAAATTTAGTTTCTAAATCATTATAATTTTTTAAACTCATATTAATACCAGTAGTAATTCCATTAAGAGTTTTTAACCATTCAGAAGCATGTTCATAGTTAGAATTTTTTCTATTTATAGGCATTTTATTTTTAATATCATCAATTTGAGTAGCTTGATCTTTTTGAATATTTCTTAAAATTTCAATCACTTCTAAATATTCTTCAAGACAAGGATAACAATTAATAAGAGAATTTTTAAGGAGAATTTGATTTATTTGCTATTCTTTTTTAGAAACATAAAAGTTAATTTTTTCTTTTAAAAAAATTGGTCTTGGTTTTCTTTTATCATAAGGAGCTGAATTAACACTATTTTGTTTTGAGTTTTTAGGCATTTTCAATTTATTTAATATATTGATTAATGAATTACATAATTAAAATTTTAATTGGTACAAAACTGTACTGATTAAAATTATAGAGATTTAGGACAATATTCAGATGATTTTAATATATATTCTTTGTTCAATCTTTCAATAGAAACAATACTTTGTTAAGAAAAATAATTAATTCTTTTTTCTGTAAATTTTTCAATATTGATATCTTTTGCTTTCTTTTTTCTTTTAATAACTTTATCTTTAAATTCTTTAAGTAATTTCTGTTTGTTTTTGTAAATAAAAGCATTAGTAGAATTAAAATTTTTAACCCAAGAAATAAATCATAATCTAATTTTAAATCTCGAAATAATTTCTTAAATTTCAATAAGGATCCTTTTTTATTCAAAGAACTTAATTATTCTTTTTTAGGATATTTTTTATCCACACTTTGTAACAATTTAAAGTAATGACAACGTTTTCTAAAAAGATATTCTCAATTTGTATGATGAGGATCATATTGCTATAAATCTTCTTGAAAATTTTTTTTTTGTTCTTTTAAAAAGTTACGATTGCATTTACATTGAAAAAATATAAAAAAGGGTATATGTTCAGTATGTTCTAATAAATTAAACTTTTCATTTGATTTTTTTTTTTATAAAGAATAACATATGAATGATTAAAATCAATATCTTTAAAAGATATCGAGTTTAATACAATAAAATGTTCATGGAATACTTTTTGTTTAATTTTTAAAAATTTTGAAAAGGGAGTTACAATATCTTTTTCGATAGACATTGTAAATAATTAAAATATTTAATTATTTTTATGAAAGCACCAATATTGCTTTCGGTTATTAAATCTTATGATTCAATAAGTAGAAATAAAGGTTGTTTTTTTTTCTTTTATAGATATTTTTGGAATAATAAAAAAAAAACCAAGTTTTTTATTTTTTTCAAGTAGAATATAATACAAATTGAATTTATGATTTAAGATTTTTAGAATATATTGCAAATTAAATTACAATTTAGAAATTTTACAATTTAGGAATTTTAAAGTAATAATATATTGCAAATCAAAATTATGATTTAGAAATTTTAGAGTAATAATATATTGCAAATCAAAATTATGATTTAGGAATTTTAGAATAATAATATATTGCAAATCAAAATTACGATTTAGGAATTTTAGAATAATAATATATTGCAAATCAAAATTACGATTTAGAAATTTTAGAGTAATAATTATGAATTTAGAAGTTTAAACATCAATTTTACGAATTTAAAAAGTTAAAGTACAATATATTGCATAGATTTGAAAAACTTGTTTCAAATTTCAATTTCAATTTTATTATAAATTCTTTATTTTTTTAGTAAATAATAATTTTTTTAAAAAAAAGATGCGTAATACTCATGAAATTCGTAACTACTTCCATACAAATACTCTTAAAACAAGACTTATTTGCAATATTTGCGAAGCAACTTATAATATTGATGTTCAAGTTACTAATCTCAAAAATCATTTTTAAAAATATCATAAAAATGATTATTGTATAATTATGGCAATTCAAGAAGAAAGAGAAAAACGAATCAAAGAAATTAATAAAGTTCAAAGAAAAGAAAATTCTAATTTTTTAACAATACAAAATAATAAAACTTCAATTCAAGTTCCTAAACCAATTCAAATTGAAGAGCTTAATGAAGAAGAAACTGTAGAAAAAATTGTTACAACTGGTCAAGCTTTACAACCAGTTCAACATAATATTGTTGAAATTAAAAAAAGAAAAAATAATGAAATTAATAATAATATAAAGAAACAGAAAATTAGTTCAATTATTTTAAATACAAATAGTAGTGTAATTGAATTTAATATTGATAATATGAAATTTAATATTAATGGAAAATGTACTTTAAATTTCGAATAATTTTTTTTAATAAAGTTATTTATAATCATTATTATTTTTTTTACAAAAAAATCTTAATCTAAATATTAACGTTGAGTTTGTTTTGCAAGAATCTGAGTTTATTGAATTTTGATCTATCATTATTGAGTTGCTTTTGCAAGAATCTGAGTTTATTGAATTTTGATTTATTATCGTTGAGTTTGTTTTGCAAGAATCTGAGTTTATTAAATCTTGACCTATTATTGTTGAGTTTGTTTTGCAAAAATCTGAGTTTATTGAATTTGACATTAAGTTTGTTTTGCAAGAATCTGAGTTTATTGAATCTTAACCTATCAATATTGAGTTTGTTTGCAAAAATCTAAGTTTATTGAATCTCAACATTGAGTTTGTTTTGCAAAAATCTGAGTTTATTGAATCTTGATCTATCAACATTAAGTTTGTTTTGCAAAAATTTGAATTTATTAAATCTTGACCTATCAACATTGAGTTTGTTTTGCAAAAATCTGAGTTTATTGAATCTTGATATCAAAATTTTTTAAAACAACAAGCGATAGAGTTTAATATATGAAATTACTGAAAAATATAAATACTTTTTTAATCTCTATAACAATATAATAATTTATTTATAATAAAAAATAATATAAATAATACAATAAATCTTTAAATTAAAAACTATCTTCACTAATAACTTCAAATATATCTTGCATTATTTCTTCATATTCATCATAACTATTATAACCACTATCATTAGAATCACATTCACTAAATCTATTATCATTACTATTAACAGAATCATTAATATCATTAATAACATTAAGAATATCAGTTTGAAAAATAAATAATTTATCATTTATAAATTCATTGATCACTTTATTATATGGAAGAAAATTCATATAATAATAATCATTTGTATAATTAAAACTTTGCCTGAAAAAATTAGCAAAAAAATTCAATTTATCTTCATACTGACTAATAGTATTTTGACTAATTTTTTCATATTGGTTAACAGTATCTTGTATAATAATATCTTTTTCTTCGATAATTCTTTCAAGACATTTAATGGATTCAACATAAACTTCTTCAATTTCTTTAATTTGTTTATTTAATCATTGAATTTCTTCTTGTTGATTTTGACGAATTCTTCTTTCTTCTCTCAAATCCAATTGAGCATCATATAATTCTTCATATAGAGTAATATTAGACATTTTTTCTTTGAAAGTTTTTGAATATGGATATATTTCTTTACCAGTTTGTTGTATAAAAATTAAATCATTTAACATTTAAATAAAATAAAAAAAAACTAACGTTTAAATAAAAAATTAACTAATTCTATTTTTTTTAGAAGATTCTTCTAAAATATTAGCTGTTCTTTTTTTATCTTTTCTGTATATAAATAATTGGTTCACATTCAGATAATCTTTTAAATATTTAATCTTGTAATCAGAAAATTTTTTACGCCAATAAATATTATCACCAATAATAATTTCTTCTCCCTCAATTCCTATATTAATTTTTTTAGATTTTTTTATAATTTCTTCAATAGAATTTTCTCTATTACGATATTTAACATCCTATAACATATTTCTAAATTTATTCTCATTTCTTTTTTCGAATATAATTTGTATAGTTCTTTTTTCCTGATCATCATTCCATTTTTCATCAAATTTGATTATATAATCAAATCTATGTTCGAATTGGTTATAATCTTTCTTATTATCATCTTCTCCACTATACTGTCCAAAATTATCCCTTAAACCGTATTTCAGGCAAATTTGCCTAAAAAATTTAATTGTATTTAGTATTTTTTAAATAAAATAATAATTTATTAATAATATAGAGTATAT